AGCAATCCTCGAAAATGCATTTCGTTTTGAAGCATAGACAATGTGTGTGTAATATGTGTAAACAAGTAAATTACTGTTGACGTAAGAACCCAATAAGAAAATCAAAGACCCCGTGGTCAGTAAATTCAGTGATGCCAACTCCTGGATAACCCTGAAAACCCCCTAAAGTGGAATCGATTCTGGATGAATTCGATCTTGGAATATTATAGCTTTTTGATATTTCAGTTATAGCCTCGCTTGGAGTTAATGATTTAGTTGGTTTGTTGGGTTAATATAGTATAGAATCATGCGTTTTTGAAAAAAATTTTTTTGTAAAAAAGACCCTCTAAAATTCTAAATACTCCTCAACATTTTATTTCCCCCAACATTTGGAGGGGTTTTAGGTCTCAGATTTCTTTAAGTGTTTCATGATTGTCAATCTAATAGGCAAGTAGGTGATCAGCCTCCTGTGCTTGACACACGCCGTCGACTGTTTTGGTTTAGACAAAGCCACGTCACAAAGTTTTCCTTCACCGTTCGAGCGAATGGTGAATGGTGAAAAAAACCTACAACTTCGAACGCTGAAGCCACTAGGCCAATACTGCTGTAAGGTCGCATCACCGAATGAAATACTGATACATTAAGATGGATAACGATTAGAGCTATTGAGGTGGAAGTAACGCCATCTATTGTCGCAAAGTTCTTTGTCACCGAACTTGGGACGAAATTGTCGAGATATAAATACTTCTTTGAATAATATAATTGAATTTGTGAATAATAGAAATGTCTAGACGTTCGTATAAACGCTCAAAGCCTCATGAATATTTTATTATTGGCTGATATACACAATTGTATCTTTTTCATTTTATATTTATAAATCGACGCCTTTTTCCAAAGGCATAGGCGAAGACTACCTTTAAATACCTGGCAGAGTTTAGTAGTTGTACATTAAACTCTCCGCCACTCTTTTGAATCGCCAAGTTTTGAGTCATACAAATAATTTTAACTGGAGCAAATCAATCCCAAGGGTTAGGATCATTAAATATTCGTCAAATTTATAAAAAAGCTTTAGTGATTTATTTACGTTTGACGAAAGTTTTGAATTACCAAACTGTTTATATAAAAAAACTAGCTGCCCCCACGAACTTCGTTTCTCCTTAGTGTGATTTTACTTAGCCTAACTTTTAGTACATACCCACTTTTCGTGTTTTCCGGAATGAAAACTTTTTAGGTTTTTCTGTGATTTTTGCTCTATATAAACCTCAGAGTTCTAGTAACAACTTCTTAACCTACAATAAAAAATAGGGGTTGATCGTAGAGGGTAGGTGAAAATGAAGGATGGTTTGAATTTTTGTATGCTGTATCAAAAAAAAAAACTTTGGGGACACCCCTTATCACTTAGGGGTTTGTAGCCGATTCTCAGAGTTACTAAATATGCATAAAAAAATTCATAAGAATCGGTCGAGCCGTTTCCGAGGAGTATGGGAACAAACATTGTGACACGAGAATTTTACATATAGGTATAGAGATAATGTCTAGCAGACGATATAAAGAGAATATAATAATTTTTATTAATCAGACAAATACAGTCCATTGATTGATTAGTAAGTTAGTAACAATAGTTTCTTAAGATCTATGTTAGCAGAATTAGTAAAAATAAGAAAAAAGTAGTTGAATAAAAAAATAAAAAAAACTATCAGGTACAAAGCCCTGCGGAGATGTCGGAGCAGTGTGGTAAATAGGGGCACTCCATCCTCTCGACTATCATCCGTAAGATGTTGCTGGAGCTGCTCCGCACCCGGTGCACCAAAGACGCGCACCGCTTTCGCATAGTGGCGAAAAAGCAATCCACCCGCGCCTCTGCAAACATTCTTGATGCACTGCAGAAGCGAGGCAGCCCCAGCAACACCCTAAATGCGTTATTATACTGCACCCGAAGCGAGTTGTATGTTTGTCGAGTGAAACTGGCCCATAGGCTGCACGTGTAGAAGCTAGTGCAATATGCTCTGAATAATGTGACTTTTACGTCATGAGAACAACTTACAAACCTACGAGCCAGCATATTTGCTCTCACCGGCATAGGAGGGGCACAACTTGGACAAGAAGAGCTAACATCAGAAAAGAATGGAAATGGAAGAGGCACAGGACACGCTGACTACCTAATACGCGTCAAGTGACGTATTAGATTAAGTTTTATTTATGTATTGTAGTTAAGTTATTTTGATGTAACTTAAATAAGTGTTATTATATTGTACTGGGTGTCAGAAATAAAGGCTTAATAAATAAATAAATAAAAATGTCTAGGAAGCCGTAACAGACTATTTGCGAGCATAAAGTAATAAATTGGGTGATACTTGAAAATAGGGGTTCCTTCAGGTAATATCCAGGTTAAGACGTGACCTTTATAGAACTTTTAAATTCACTAAATATTTAAAATGTAATCTAGGTAGTTTCGAGAACCTATGAAATTTCAATGTAACATGAGGTTCAAAATTCAAATATCCTTTATTAAATATATCTAAATGAATGCCAGTTCTCATATTAGGCCACAGAGTGAGAAGAACTGGTCTCTCTGGGGCCTCATAGCCTAGCGGTCTTATTAAGTGGCAGCTAGGTGAGGGGTACCGGGTTCGATTCCCGGTTCGAGGGCAAGTTTTAATTTAATCTAAATTTACTCTCGGCCTTTGTTGTGCGGTACCGGGCGAGTGCTTAAACCGTACATAGAGGACACTGTCGAATTTCTAAAAAGACAAGCACGAATTATACAAAATCCTATACTTGACGCTGGCTAATGCACAAATCGTGCCAGAGCCATAAATAAAAAAATAAAAAAATACTGGTCTGTCTCTTTTCTACCGCCTTTTTAGATTAAAAATTTATTCATTTTAAATGTACACTTATGTCAGTAATAGAATTGATGCTTCGAAATTTACTGCCAGTTCTCAAATCGAGGTAAGAAAAGCCGTGACTCCAGATTAAAGAAGAAAATAAAAACTCAAAGGTTTCTTATAATTTGACGTATTTTTTAGGTGATATGTGCTGAATTTCACCATTTATATCTAATATATAAAATTCTCGTGTCGCGGTATTTGTGGTTAAACTCCTCCGAAACGGCTCGACCGATTCTCATGAAATTTTGTGTGCATATTGGGTATATCTGAGAATCGGACAACATCTATTTTTCATCCCCCTACATGTTAAGGGTAGTCCACCCCTAAAAATTTTTTTTTTAATTCTTAGATAATAATTTATTTTTTATTTTTTATGATACAGCATTAAAAAATACATACGGGTTGTATGTAATTTTTCTCTACGATCAACCCCTATTTTTTATTATAAATGATGGCAAACGACGTTTGCCCGGTCAGCTAATATATAGTATTATTATAACTGAATTAATACGGGTAGAACCGCGAGCACAGTTGTACAATAGTTTTGCTAAACCCAGTCGACTGTAAGCTGAATATATTAATTCAACTGTCATTCGCAAACAACGAGCTTTAAAACCAGCTTAAGTGAAATTTTCAATTAAAATAATTGAGGTTTAAATTTATTTTTTATAGAACATTACTTTAGGAATAGTATATGCAAAACCGGAAACGCGGATAATTGGTATTTTGTAATAAGTTCTGTGGAACAACCAGAGAATAATCAAATGAATTTTATTTAAAGAACTTTTTAATTTTTTTTTTAAAGTTTTATTAGGATTGTTTATTAAAACCTTACCAAAACAATCAAATATATTATAGCGTTTACAATTTTCTAACATAGTAATAATACAAATACAATCGAACCTGGATAAGCGAGAGTTCAAGGGAGAACAATATCATTCTCGCTTATAGAGGTTTCTCACTAACCCGAGTTTCTCGCTAATGCAGGTACATGGGTAGCTTTTCTCTCTTATATAGGTACGCAGCAATAACAAGTCACAGCAAGTACGAATGTGTAATATGATAAAATTATGTGCATAATGTGCACAACATATTATGTACATATATATTTTATTTTATTAAGAACTAATTTACCGTCAATTTCGTTTGGGTTTCTGTTTTTGTATTTTGAATGTTTATCTCTAACTCATAAATTTTGTCGAATATTGCTTGATCAACAACCGCCGCGCCGCGTTTCCAAGTACTGATAGGGACCGTCTCCAACGCATTTAAAGTACATAATATAAATAAAGCCCGACTGTCGCTTATAGAGGTAAAGATAAGTAGCAGTCTCACTTACGGAGGTGCATGAGGGAAAAACGACTCTCTTTTACAGAGATTCTCTGAGGGAGCTTAAAATTACGGGTCCCGGTTATTACTCTCACTTATAGAGTTTTCTCACTTATCCAGTTCTCACTTACCCAGGTTTGACTGTAATTAAAAATGAATAAAAACAAATTTAAAAGTTTGGTCCAGTGTGCCTTTAACGCTGGCATCATTTCCTCGCTGTATTGCGATACTTATTCTTTGAGCGAGCAAAGCACCAGCTCTAAGGTCACCGGTACTATCTACCAGGTGTCAACTTAAATCTTTAATTAAGTGCCTGTGTACTTGAACCCCACGGCCCAAGAGTCTCTACTCCAAAGGGAACAAAATCGAAGTTAGAGGAAAGACTCTTATATTTGAGCCGCGCCACCTCAAGCGCCATGCGTTCACTTTAAAAAAAACAGTGGCGCTACAACCTCTTAAGGTCTTGGCCTCAGATTTCTGAATTTATTTCATGATCATTTTTAAATCTAATAGGCAAGTAGGTGATCAGACTTCTGTGCCTGACGTACGCCGTTGACTTTTTGGGTCTAAAGACATGTCGGTTTCCTCACGATGTTTTCCTTCACCGTTCGAGCGAATGTTAAATGCGCACATAGAAAAAAGTCCATTGGTGCGTAGCCGGGGATCGAACCTACGACCTCAGGTATGAGAGTCGCACGCTAAAGCCACTAGGCCAACACGGCTCTGCGTTCACTTAACTTTTGATAATATTTTCTTTAAATCCCAATTAATATAGTATGATTACTTTTATTATTATTTTAATTACATAATCACGACGTCGTGTTGAACATAATTTTGACAGCTTACCTGACTATTTGGAAATGTAGCGAAGGCAGACTGAACTTTGTGTAGCGCGTGGTCCTGCTGATGGGCGGGCGGCGGCCGGCCCTTGGGGAAGTAGAACCGTGGTATGACCCTGGAGGGGCCGGCCGCCCTGACCGACCTCTGGAGAGTCGTGTGGGGCGGCGCTGACGAAGGCTTTGGAGGTGTCGATGCTGCATAGTTCTGTAAAATGTTTTATGATTTAAGAACCATATTTATGTTTTCTTACATTACCGGCGTTTGTACCGGCGATGACAGATGAAGCAAAGAGATGGAACGGAAACGCGCAGTGGGAAGAAGAAACCTGGGAAGATGAAATAAAAGAGATAGCATTGAAAGATTGGAAATTGCGAAGATTGGAGACAATTGGAAGAATTTGGAGTAAACTCAAACTCAAACACAAAATATCTTTATTCAAGTGGGTAACCAAGTACACTTTTGAATTGTCAAGTTAAATTAATTGTAAATTTACATTTACTACCAGTTCGCAAGTCAAGGGCGTAGAGCGGGTAAGAAGAACTGGCAAGAAACTTTCCGCCACTCTTTTTAATCGCCAAGTATTGTCATACAAATTGTTTGAACTGAAGCAAATCAATCCCAAGGATTAGGATCATTTAAGTATTCCTCAAATTTATAAAAACTTTATTGATTAATTTAAGTTTAACGAGGGCATTGAATTTATTTAGTGATAATTTCGTTTGGGAGTTTGTTGTAAAAACGAATACAATTTCCATATAAGGAGTGGTTTATCTTTTGGACCCTGGTTGGTCGTACACTCAAATTAGTTCTATTTCGCGTATTATACTGGTGAAAGTCACCATTTGTTTTAAAATCGTTTATATTTTTTTGGACATACAACAAGGCTTCAAGAATATATTGACCAGATAGTGTCATAATATTTAATTCCTTAAACTTAGTACTCGAATATATGCTATTTTTATTTTATATAAAGATTTATATTTTATCCGGAACAATTCGACGGACGCGCTTGTTCTTTAGAGGGTTGTATGGGTATGTTTAATGATGGAGCTTTCTATTGCATAGCTTTTATGACAATTTTACTACCGTAGGATCTTTGGTAAGATTCAGACCAGTCACTTTCCGTGCGGCTTGATCCCTTGGCGTTGCGTAGAGATGTGGGGTCTCTCTGCATCTTCTACCCCATTTACCATGAAGAATGTTCACAGGAGTTGTTCGGATGACCTGCAGCCGAGTTTCATTATCGGACGTCAAGACAGAACATAAAATACGATCCGTATCACCTCGACGCCGTTCATCAACTGAGCGTTATTAAGGCAGTTTTTGCAGCGCACCACCATTATTGCGCAAACCAATTCGACTTAGGGTCCATCAAGAAAAGAGCGTACCAATTCTTAAAAGGCCGGAAACGCACGAACCCTTTGGCAATGATCATGGGCGGCGGTATTCATTAACATAAGGTGAGCCTCCTGCCCGTTTGCCTCCTATTACAGAAAAAAAAGAACTATCTTGTATAGAGAAGAGAAGACAAGAAATATCCATTGCATTTTTGACGTATGAGACACATACTTAGCGATATCTCCCGTATCTGAATCTCACCCTTGGGTCATAGAAGTCGTCAGAGACAAGAGAAGGGATTGTGCCAATTCTTTAGTCTTGGGTTAATGAATACAGCTACCCCTGACGGCCCTTAGCGTTTGTGCGCGTGAGCAGTGAGCAATTTTTGTGAGCAGTCTTGGCCTAGTGGCTTCAGCGTGCGACTCTCATCCCTGAGGTCGTAGGTTCGATCCCCGGCTGTGCACCAATGGACTTTATGTCTATGCATTTAACATTCGTTCGAACGGTGAAGGAAATAATCTGAGGTAGCCGGACTTAACGACGAAAAGATCAATTGCCTATTAGATTTACAAATGATCATGAAACAGATACAGAAATCTGAGGCCCAGACCTAAAAAGGTTGTAGCGCTAAGTAGAGTAGGCACTGCAAGCGTGTATGATTATTTCATATTTATCGACGTTTTAAATAAGACCCTAAGACCACATTGTGTAATGAATTCATTATAATTGTTTATTTAAATGTCCCAGTTTACCATAGACAATATAATGAGATGAATACTATAAATAGTCTGACATTTGTTCATAAATGATTGATGTCAGGTAACTTTATGATCTATTAATCATGCTTGTTAATTTATCATTTAAAAATAGTTTAGTTTTTAAAAATTATTTTAGATTTGGACTGGACTTTTAGTTTTTAATTTTTTTGAAAAGAAAAAAAAAGTACCAATTCTTCAAAGGCCGGCAACATACTAGCGAGCCCTCTGATAATGTAAGTATTGATATAGTAGTCAAAATAAAAAAATGGGAATATCGGGAGACTAGAATACTATACGAATTTAATAAAAAAAGCAACAAAAGTATACAACAAGAAAACATACAAATTAATGTAGATAAACTAATCGGAGTGCGTAGTGTTGGCCTCAGTCTGTGGACATTTGAAAAATATACTTGGTTACGAAAAGTCAAGCTGTCAAAACTTAATTGTGATTGTGACGTATACAAAAACATCTTGGTTAAATAATAAGACGTAATTCGTTTATATGCAAAGAAAGTACATTCAGATTTAGATCAAACCGCACAATCATTAATATAAAATAGGCATCATATTAATTATCATAAAGTAATCATAATAAGAACAGTAAAGTTATTTATAATTGTTGTAAAAACTTATGAAATGAAACGTTTATTTGCTAATATAGTGGTGCAATTAGATAGATTAATTATAAAAATCCGCCATATATTTAAATAGACATGCAAATCATATTCATTTTTATAATGTCATAATAATAAGTAAAGTTATTTAGAATTGGTATCAAACTTATGGTGTCTATACTGCCCCAAACTCTACAGGCCTTGCCTTTAAAAATTTAATCACATTCCACTTGAAAGCATTACACGGCTGTGATCTATAACGTCTTGTTAATTAAATAGTTTGATAGCCAAGAAAAATCTTCATTAGACATTAATTACTACAATTCTGGGTATTACCGCCCAAACCCAATAACCAATTCACAATCTCAGATTGAAAACAATCTGAGATCAGACCGTGACAGTCGATCGTTCTCCTATCTGCATCCCAATAACCAAACCCTACGCAGACAATCCATTTTTAGCGACGGAAAATGCTCTTTGTCGTTTTACCGGGTGTCACTCATATTTGATAATCAATGTAAACCAAATAAAGAAGGTTTATAAACCATAAAAATATAAATTTCATACACATTTAAAACATAACCAAACAGTTTTTTTAAATATTTGAAAAACTGGTGTAAGATAAAATCTGTTAAAATAATTTACTGTTGAAATCGAGCTTTCGTCAACTGTAATTTTCATACATAGGTCTATTCACAGACACCGATACGACCTCCCATGGATAGCTTGTATCTACAGATGGCTATTACAATCCCTTGATTGGTTATTGGCACACTATACAACATTAAGATTACTATCTCAGATGGATTATGGATTGAGATAGGTTATTGGGTTCGGGCGTAAGGAACAAAAGGCCACTTTAAAGAACTTTCAGTTAACAAAATACATGCGTACGTATTTTTAGATATAAATAAATGCGTGGGCGTGGATGCGAGAATTGGGAGCAGCCGAGTTAATTGTCAAGACTCATGTATCACGATTACAAGGTCATATACAGCGAATATGTTTTCGAATAATACAATATTAATACTGGAAATACGTTTGTGCCAGCGTGCGATATAAAGGAGTATTCTCGGAATTCAATTACGCGACAAACATAAAAGTGAATATATTCGCAGAAAAACCAAAATTATTTATGCTGAGCAAGCTCTAAAACTTAAATGGCGATGGGCAGGCCACTTAGCCCGTACAGATGACAGATGGTCTAAAGCAGTAACCGAATGGACTGGTCCAAAAGGAATAAAGGAAGAGCAATAGAGCGATGGGCCGACGAGATCAAGAGGATATCAGGAAAAAATTGGATGACGATGGCACAAAATAAATTAAGGTGGAAAAAGTTGGAGGAGGCCTTCTCCCGGACAGGGAGCATCTTAGGAGGGAGGATCCCGTATCTTAGGGAGCGTTCAAGTATTACGTCACGCAATTTTTGGAGATTATTGCCCCCATAAAACGCGCGTTTTTCTGTACCCAAGTATAGCAAAAAGTGACTCTTTATACCTAAAAGTTACCATTATGTGGTGTAAAGTACTAGAGAGTCAAAAATAAAATTAAAAATAACGCGTAATTCAATCCCCACCCCGCATCGTAACATTTTAAAAAAGGACCCCCCCAAATTCGTTACGTAATACTTGAACGCTCCCTTAGTTAGAACTGTATTTAAATCTATTTTTGTTAAATGTATGTCAATAAGATGTGGATGAATAAAGGCTTATTTATCTAATACATATATAAAATTCTCGTGTCACAATGTTCGTTCCCAAACGGCTCGACCGATTCTTATGATTTTTTGCATATTCAGTAAGTCTGAGAATCGGCTACTATCTAACTTTCAAACCCCTACATGTTAAGGGTGGTCCTAAATTTTTATTCTTTAGATATTTTTTTGTTTTAATTGTTTTATGATACAATATACAAGAATACATGCAACCTTAAATTTTTACTCCTCTACGATCAACCCCTAATAGTTATTTTTATTGAACAAAAATTTTTTTTCCTACAAATAATATATATATATTGCAAAACAACGTTTGCCGGGTCAGCTAGTTCCGATTTCTGAACCAAGGCGGAGAGTCCGTCTAAAAGGCCGGCAACCCTTCTGGCAGTGGCAGACACAGGTGTGTCACTTAATATTAGTCTCCAAAAGCTATGTATTATAAAAAACAAATGCATACTGAAAATCTCGAACAAACAACTCGACATATTTTCTTCAAAGTAAGAAAACCGCAAGTGACTTTTCAATTCGAAATACAAATTAAAAAATCTTTAAAGTTTTCCGCTTAAATCCCAGTTTGTATGTTAAAAGTTTTCCACTTGGCTTATTAATTTCCATTCAAAAAGTCCCAGGCGCTAACTTAAATAATAATAAAATAATTTAAGAATCAAATCTATGACTTCCTTTAACTATAAATTATAATATCATTAGAATTATAATTTAAATAATAATAATTTAATTATCTATATTTATACATATTATATAAATATGTTATGATGGTTTGTGTACACTTCAAAAACACAAAAAGTTCTGCACCGATCGAGCTGAAATTTTATAATATATAATCCGCATCAAGGATTGTTTTTATCAATTTTTTTATCATTTATTTTTTTGTTTTTTTTATTTTTTTACTATTTTGTTTCCACAATTGCAAAATTAAACTTATATGAAAGGTTTTCTTTGTTTTGTTTCTCATTTCTTAACCATTCAATCACAATGTGCTACAGCGAAGCGTGGCAGGGAACAGCCAGTATATATTTCAAATTATAAAGTTAATTATTGCCATCAGCCTTCGCTTAGGAACGCCCATATGTCCTATAACTGTCTCTGTGACATCGAAGCAAGTCACCACCATGGTCTCCGTCACCAAAAGAGTGCAGGTTAATGCGTGTTGTTCCCAGGAGAATGTAAGTGCGTGCTGCTATTTCACCATGCCTACTGCTGATATTGCTATTACCAAAACACGTCAACAGATGGCGTTATATCAAATAGTTATTTGTCAGCTTTACGTGGCTTTGCTGGCAATTATTAATACAAATTATAGTTAAATTTAACTCGCGTACACAAATGAAAATCTGTAGACAATTTTATAAGAAACATACATCGAAATCTTCACGATAGAACGAAGACGCCGGTAGACTAAAAATAGATAGCGTTTTGCGCCACACCAAATCGGGAAGCGGCAGTGATTGATAACGGGTTTATAGATTATATAATATACTGTACTATATATAGTATTTTAATAACACAGAAATAGCGTTTACAATATTCTTAACCTACAAAGTATTTTTTTAAATTTTGGTCCCTGTAGCAGTGTAGCTTGTATGCTGAAATTTCCACGCTTTTTTTATAAAACGGAGCTAATAATCAGGCTCATCTGATGTTAAGAGATACCATGTTAAGGGCTCGCGAGTGCGTTGCCGGCATTTTAAGAATTGGTAAGCTCTTTTCTTGAAGGACACTAAGTCGAATTGGTTCGGAAATACTTCAGTGGGCAGCTGGTTCCACATAGTGGTAGTAAAAACTGCCTTAAGATTCGTTGAGAGTGGAAAGCAGCTCAAGCACAAGCTACTGGGTCACTGGTATAGTACCAGGTATTTTAATTTATTTATTTAGGTAGCAGCTTAAATAAAGATCAGAAAGGGAAAAAAACGTTTTCTTCTAAAGAAAATTTTCCTGTGTTTATATTTTCAGATGTTGTGTGTAAAACAAATTTGTAATACATAATATTTGCGTATCTTTAACCGTTACTCATTCAATGGAAGCTATTAATAACATAACATTTCTCCTTTTAGTCTTCGGCTACAAGTATACCCTGAGCAAATAATCTTTCAAGAACAGACTGAACCAATTTTTAAAAGGCCGGCATAGCACTCATGAGCCCTTTGGCATTACTTTTATTTATTTATAAAAGCTTGCCAACGCTTGGCACACTGATACATTGACAGAAGAAAAATAAAATACAGTTTTTAATGTGTCAAGCACTTACAGGCAAACATAGCATACAAGAAGTAATAAAATTAATTAAGCAAAACAATAATATAATTTAAATAAACATTAAACGAAAATCGCTCTCAAAGTCTGAGGTGAGCAACTATGGATGTCCAGATCCAGCTCGTTTAACAGAATGCTCAATCTGGACATCGGTGAATTTCGGCCAAAACGCGTTCTCCGGAAAGGAGGGATAAATGGAATGATGGGATGTCTGGGATATCTACTGGGTACACGAAATTTAAATTTTGTTAAAAGGTTGGGGCAATCTAGCTGATTGTTAAGTATCTTAATGGCAAACGATACATCATTTAATTTTCTGCGATTCTCCAGTGACAACATCTTGAAGTGCGCTAGCCTGGTTTCGTATGTAGGCAACTTTTTTTTTCGAGATGCCACTGGAGAATAGAAGATGCCATAGAAATCTTTTTTGTACACGCTCCAGTCGTAACATATGAGTCGCATCATATGACTGTACCATAATCTAATATGCTCCGCACGAGACTATTGTATAGCATAATTTTTGTTTTGGTGCCTCGGAATTATTTTGTGTTCCTCAGGACAAAACCAAGCATCTTAGAGGCTTTCTTTATTGTTATCTCCTGGTGCTCTGTAAACGTTAGTTTATTGTCGAAAAGTACCCACAAATCACGACTTACTCTTTCTTCCCGAACCATTGTGCCACCTATTTGATAGTTATGAATTATATTGTCCCTTTTCCTAGAGAAACGAACAAAATGACACTTTTGTGCATTCAGCTCCATGCCATTGGAAATACACCATGAAGTCATATCATTCAGATCGGCTTGGAGCAATAAGCATTCCTCGACGTTACATTAAGAGTGTCCATGGCGGTATCACTTAACATCAGGTGAGCCTCTTGCCCGTTTGCCCTTGTTCTATAAAAAAAAGGCCGTAACCACTGATGACTCCAGTGAGCTGTCCTTTGAGGCTAGTCGTGGAAAGGTTTTATCCGGCTGAAGTACGCTTGCCGAAACAGTCCCAGCCTAGCTGTCCAGGCCCTTAAGGCCAACACCTAGATTCCTTTAAAAATAGGAGTCTTTGGGCTAGTTAGACTGCTCTAGGAACCCTTTCGGTCGGAGCAGCATCTTCCTTCCTTTACAATACAGAAGAAAAAAGCCAGTATCGCTACAGCCCTTGACTAGGATTGAGATTCATGTATCTCGCAAGTTGATCAGCCTTCAGCCTGACAGACGTTGATTTTTGGGCCAGGTTTCGCAGCATTACTGAACATACTAAGTCAGGGTTGCTGGTCCTTCGCCAATAAATAATCTTCATCATACAATTCCTGAGCTGTCAAGGCCCTCCAGGCCAACAGCGAGAATCTTTTCGTTAGACTGATCGAGCCTTTCGACTTTGTATTGTTGGTCCCACGAGAATGTAAGTGCGTGCTCCTATTTCACCATGCCTCCTGCTGATAGAGGACAAATCTCTGTTTTTAATTTTTTTATTATTTTTTATTACTTAAGATGTCATGTGGAACATAGTGTAATGGTTGCAGCTACTTACAAACGTGGTGTAAAACAAAAAACTTGGCGATTAAAAAGAGTTGCGGAGTTTATTGGCAGTTCTTCTCTTCCGTTCTACGCCCTTGATTTGAGAACTGGCAGTAAATGTAATATTAGAAGCATTTTATATATATATTTTTTTGTGACTTTCATAAGTGTAGGTACATTGTGTTACCTATATCACTAAATGATTTAAATTTTTGACTTTAGGAAAAAGAGCAGCCTTTCAAAAATATAGCTTCTATAAATGGAATCCCACGCAAATCAATTCGAATCAGTACACTTAATAAAATATGAATTTGAATTTAAATAGAATTGATATAATTCCAATATTTATCGAACCGAAATCATGAATCCGAAATAGGTTCTGCCAATTCTTTCAGAGGGAGGTGATTCGGATTAAATTTCATATTGGGAACGGTTTTTAGATTAAATACAAAATCAATATTTATCGGTATAAAGATATTGAACTGATTCCAATTCTAGCCTATATTAATTAAATATAAATAATAAATCAGTGGCCCTACAACCTCTTTAGGTCTGGGCCTCAGATTTCTGAATCTGTTTTATGATAATTTTCAAATCTAATAGGCAAGTAGGTGATCAGCCTCCAGTGCCTGACACCCGCCGTCGACTTTTTGGCTCTAAGACATGTCGGTTTCCTCACGATTTTCCTTCACCGTTCGAGCGAATGTTAAATGCGCACATAGAAAGAAAGATCCATTGGTGCACAGCCGGGGTTCGAACTTACTACCTCAGAGATGAGAGTCGCACGCTGAAGCCACTAGGCCCATAAAGACGACGGCGTTTGTCAGGCACTGCTCTACAAAATATATTAATTAAACTACTCTTTCTCGCACCAATAAACTTTACATTGACACTAAATTAATTTTAACATACCGGCATAACACTTATAGATAGAAATGGTGTCATGTATTTTTTTTTATTATTGCTTAAACATTATAAAACTAAAAAATACAGAAAACATCAAAAAACCACTAAGCGGTTTCACCTTCGTGCCTCGTGTACATATGATTATGTAAAATTAAGTAAATCATGTCAATTTAATTCGGACTTTTTCAACATAATTACAAATTCGGTAGATATGTTTATGTATTTTAGTCGCAGCCATAAGATTCATCTACTGACTCAACAAAAATTTTATTTACATTTTTATTAATTTTACTATACACAAGACTTCATTACGTACACTGGTAACATTTTTTTTTTTTTTTACAAGTATTTATTACATTCCTTTTCTTTACTTTTTTGCGACTGAGGCGCAAACTAGCTGCTGTGGTCTCTGGCAGAATGACCAGCGCTATGAAACATTCTGCTCCTCAGCATAATGCAGAGCCAGGGCCAATTACAGCCACAGCACACACATTACACACTTGAAACGAACCGAATGGGAAAGGGGAAAAAAATCTTTTTATATCTCTCATTATATTTTATTCTTTGATTATTGTTATTTTGTGTGTTTATCTTTGTTAGTAATAAATGTTATGTCTATGTCTATTTCAATTGGTAAAAGTTGTCATATAATAATATATTTAAAAAAAAACAATCAAAGCAAATACTTTAAAAAAAATCTTAAATAATAATGGTGAGTTACAATTTGCATGTTTACTAACAAGACTTTATTATTATTAATTTCATGTTTAAAAAACAATTGTAAATGTATTTCCTTTTAATATAACAACATATGACAACGTATCAAGTTATCTCTTATTTGTTTTGGTACAATTTCAGATGTGTTCAGACGGCGCGAGCCCGACGCGTTGCCATGGCTACCATTGATCGGCCGCCATTTTGAATGCAGCCGTCTGCGTAACGTCTGACTCTGAGATGTGATTCACAATTAATAAGATGGCGCAAATATGTTAGTTGTAATGGTATTATTAATTTAAATGCACGTGAATTATGCCCAAAATATATTGTAATATACATATATTTGTCTAGGAATAACATTCTGTTAATTACTTTACGAATTGATATTTTTTTCATATATTTTGTTACTCTAACTAACTGTTCTATTAAACGTATAAGTCGAAAACGATAATTTTAGAATATTTTAGAGTTTTAAAGATAAAACAAAAATTCTAAATGTAGCATATAATATTTATATCCAAAAATATTAAATTTCGAGGCCGTGTAGCCGTGCGAGGTCGGACAGGCCGGTTAATAGCCAATAAATATGAAACCTTTTTGCTAGCTAATTAATTTAAAAGGGCCCGTGTTTTAATTTAATAAAACTCCATCAATCTTTGTTCAAAATGCCCGCATCGATACATCATTTTTACTTTGCTTTATAACTTCCTATAACCCATCAATTTATGAAATACTTTGCATATTAAAGGAGCAATGGCTTAGTGGCTTCAGCTTGCGACTCCCATTTCTGGAGTCGACCCTTTGCATAACCAATGGACTTACTATGTGCGCATTTAACACTTGTTCCTGCGTGTTGTTCCCACGAGAATGAAAGTGCTCCTATTTCACCATGCCTCTTGCTCATAGAGGACAAATCTTTGTTTTTAATTTATTTTATTATTATTTATTACTTATGAAGTCATGTGGAACATGTCATGTCACGTGTAAGAGTTTATTGCTAGTTCTTCTCTTCCGTTCTTCGCCCTTGATTTGAGAACTGGCAGTAAATGTAATATTAGAAGCATTTTATATATTTATATGGGACTCGATCCACACCAGAACCTCGAGACACCCAGTCTCTGCTATTCAGAGACTGGGTGAGCAATACCCACTAAAACCACCTCGAGTCGAACACAAAGCCGCGTTACAGAGGCTTCAGCGTCGCTCTCACTTTCTACCGGGACCTCAACGGCATGGCAATAACCTCCGGTGCAGAACACACTACATAGAAGGTAGAAGATGGGCATATCTTCTCCTATTTACTCTGCTGCTTTTAACCCTAGGATTCGTCCTGAAGCGCTCCCTGTCTCGTTCTGCTGTCTTCTGTAGCATTACTTGCTCACAGGATACCAGTAGGCTGATAACCTACTTGCAATTAGAAAAAGCAAATAATCACGAAATGGATACAGAAATCAGCATATTCAATTATAGGTGTCGAAGCTTTGCCCGCGTTGTTATTGGTAATTGCGACAAACATTTTCAACAATAACTTTTTTTTTAAAGACAATTCACACCAATTGACCGAGTGCCGTGCTAAGCTGGTGAAGCTTGTGTTATGGGTACTAGGCAACTGATACACATACATATTATAGATAGATAGACATATAAATACATATTTAAACACCTAAGACCTAAGCACAACACCAAATGCTCATCACATCGATATGTTCGTCTCAGCCGGGGATCGAACCCGGGACCCATGGATTCGCAGTCAGGGGTACTAACCACTAGACCAATGAGTCGTCATAATAACTGTTATATTTTAAACAGTTTACATAAAACCATAATTAATTATATATCAAAACACACTATCAATGGTGTTAACCGTATAAAAATCCGTTCAGTAATTCTTGTTTTTAGTTTCGGATTAAATTCGAAATTGATTTCTGCTCAAGTATCAAACGACTGACTACAAAGGCAGTATTAACAATACATTTTGCAGCACTTTTCCAATAAATTACACTTTTCATTTCCGCCAAGCTCTATTCTTTATGGCACTGCAATGGCATTTTATATTTTCCTTTTTAGCTTAACTATAATCTCTTTGACACTATTAGAAGATAATATCTTTATGTTTCGTTTCCATATCGCAAATGACTGGTTTGTTAGAGGCTTTTAATTTTCATACATACATACATTATATGTGCCTATGATACATACTATGACATAACACAAGATAACATTCATTACTAACGAAGCACTCAGAACCACTCAAAATAATAATAATCAAAAAAATATGTAAAGAAAAAAGGCAGAAGGTACACTTAAAGTGTGTAATGTGTGTGTGTGTTGTGTGGCCCTGGCTCAGCATTATGCTGTGGAGCAGACGTGTTTCACAGCTCTGGTCATTCTGCCAGAGACCACAACATTTAGTTTGCGCCTCAGACACAAAACAATAAAAAGAATATAATAATAATAGAAGAAGCAACAAATAATTGTACTGGCTCCAAGTCTTCGTCAACCCCCGTCTTGGCCATATTCTGGGTATCTACTGAGAA